AGTAATGCAGCGTGGTGCAGAGGCATGGTTTATAAAGATCCTGGGTTAGGCCTTAAATAGGCCTCCCCGGTACAATGTGTCTTTATTGAGTAGGGTTAGGCCGTCTTTCGCCTCAAACGAAGAGACTGGGTCTGTATGCCCGACCCTGCCATGCAGAACTAGCATACGGATCTGGGCCGCCAGTATAGGCTTCACTTACCTCGCTGAGCTACTGCTCGAGCGTTGGGTTGTAGGTGGTTTGGTTCACAAACAAGCCCCACTCCCCTAGGTTGGGCACAGAAAAATTTTCTGTATTATCCTACCTCACGCCACTATGGCTCGGGTCGAGCGGAAAGTTCTAGCCTTCACTTCTTTTTTGGTCGAAGTACGCTCCCATGAAGCCAGAGCATTGCCATGAGCTGACGCCCATGCGTACAGATGGTAGGCCCCTGATTCTGGGGCCTCCGTTGAAGCAGAGTGGAGTATGTTGTACTCCCTTTGTTTTAAGGGTACTAGCTCTCTTGCTGAGTACACTGCCGTGGGCAATGTGATTAGGCACCAGGATACTGTAGGCGCTGAGTAAACAGCTTATCTGCCAACGAAGGCTGGGCCGTTAGGTAGTAGGCCTCAGCAGGCCTCCTTGAATGGGCAGCCCCCAAGAGGGCACTGTAGGCCAGCTTACTTCACGTGGTTGGCCTTGGTGGTTCGGGCAGTTGACTCACTTAGACAGGCCTCCTCGGAGTTGAGTCCCAACATTGTGGGACATACTTTATAGCCGCTACCAGGTAGCTAGCCGTATTAGGCCTCCTGTGGCTGGACCCAATAGTTATGTTGGTGTAGTATGGTTCCCAACAGTGTAACTTTGTAGCAGAATTGACTTGCTATCAGCTAGTAGGCCCAACCAGGCCTCCCTGATAGGCGAGTCCCTAGCTGGCTGGCCTTAGCAGGCTGCTTTGGAACTATCACCCGGACTCAGGGCTCATAGTTACCAGTTGCTATCAGGTAGTAGGCTCCTCAGGCCTCCCTGAAGGTGAATTCACACTTACGTTGGCTATCAGGTAGTAGGCCTCACCAGACCTCCCTGGAGGCAAGCCCCAAGGACAGGCAACTGGACAGCTAGCCTGACTTACTATCGGGTAGTAGGCCTCACCGGGCCTCCCTGAAGGGGAGTTCCCACATGCTGTGACTCTCAGGTAGTAGGCCTCATCGGGCCTCCCTGAAGGAGAGTTCCCACATGCTGTGACTCTCAGGTAGTAGGCCTCACCGGGCCTCCCTGAATGTGAGCTCCCAGATATTGTGGCTGTCAGGTAGTAGGCCTCACCAGGCCTCCCTGAAGGTGAGTTCCCACATGCTGTGATTATCAGGTAGTAGGCCCCATCAGGCCTCCCTGAATGGAAACTGTCAGGTAGTAGGCCTCACCAGGCCTCCCTGTTAGTGGTTTCCTAGCGGTGCTGGGTTCAGGAAGCTAGTGGCCTCTTGCTATCAGTTCAGCTGGCCTTAGCAGGCAGCTGCTGAAGGCGAGCTTGCGCCCTGGCTCGACTAAAGTGTTCATTCTCTGCTACTGGTTCCCTCCCGGAACCACTTTTCCTGCCTACAGCCTGGTTTGCCTACCAGGTGGACCATGTGCTCCCCTCACCAAGGGTCACTATGAGCACGCGGACTCCTGAGTCTGGTCAGATGGTCGTAGGCCTCTCGTGAGGCCTCCCAGTTAGATCAGCCCTTAGGCCTTCACAGGCCTCCTCAGTGTTTTGAAACACAAACACTGGGTAGATTCGTTGATCGAGTAGAGAAACTCCCCTCTCTGGCAAGGGTTGGAAAGCACTATGCTGAGTCATACTCCCCGGAATATCCCGTCTCTAAGATCCGGGCAGAGCGGTTCACTGCCAGCTTCGCAGTCCCTCGGGTTGGATGCCTTACCTAAAGGCAAGTGTCCAGAGGCTCTGTCTTCGGACAGACAGGAAATGGCCAGACTAAGTGTCTATGTAACTGATGCCAGGTCAGGCCGTCCTGGTGGCATTTCGGGGTGAGTTCATTCCCCTGAATAGTGATTGGCTGGGGTTCCTTCGGGTTCCCTAGCCACATTCCCTAAAAGGGACCCCTTCTAATTGGAAGCTGTGGTTCCAGGCCCTGAGCAGGCCCAGGTAGGCCTTTCATTTAACCATGTTTATGGAGCTTTTCCTGCGAGGCTTATAGCTTGGGCTATGACCGTAGGGAATGCTGTCACTGACAGCCCAGTGTGACCTGAGGGTGAGTGGTTCTAGCATTTCATTGAATTGCTGATTCGGACAGTTGTCACTGCCAATGGGCATGCGCTCCCCTTAGCATGGCGGCGTGGGTATATCGTTCCCCGAAGCGTCATTCGACGCAGTGCGAGTTCCCAGTACGACAGTAACCTATGTTCCCTGAGAACAGGGAACGAGACTTGCCATGCCTCGGGGCCTGCCTACCAAACAGTCCCTTCAGACGAATTGATGTTGTCATGTTTGCAAGGCGCCCTTTTATACTTCCAGGTCGCATGTTAATCATTCACATTAATGATTCACGGGCTGTCGCCGGTCAATGTGATTGCCGTGATTTGATAGTGATTTCAGACACCTGTCACGCCTGAGGCGTTCCCCAAAGCGCCATTCGACGCAGTGTCTCGATCCCTGTTCTCAGGGAACATAGGTTACAGTCGTAACCTAAGAAGTTTTTGCTGTAGAAAAAAAAGCACATTTCGATGCCAAAAGCGAATAGTTGAATAAACTGTGCCACCTTCTCCACATCAGGCTGGCACGAGAGGACAGCCTACACACAATCTAGGTGAAAATGGGAGAATATCTATTTAGTTGAAGTTTCCATTGCAATACATTTGATTTCACTCAAAAAATATAACATTGAATTAAACCTCACTTTTAAAGTAAATGCTTTACTTAGAAACATCTAAGTAATTAATACAATAGATATTCTACATATAAGAAGTCACACGTCATGAGTCCGCAGAGACCTCAGTACTTGGTAGACAATGACGGTAACATTTGATGGATCGTTTTTGTGTTTGAATGTGTCATTTTAAGTGGAATATGAACTCCAGATGTCACAAAATGGCAAGTTACTAATCCTAACAACAACATCAATGATGAAACAGTGTAAATACAGCTGGAAAACATTCTCATTAATTATTCAAGGCCCAATGCATGATGGGAACACCAGTGTCAGAAAAGTTAAGTAATTTTACTTCGTTTTATAACGTTGATATTTACACTTTCATTTCTACACGCTTGAATTGAGTACTAATATAGAATTTACTTTGTTTTTTTAATTATTGCCTGAACTTTTTCATGTAAATTACATTGTTTTTTTCTGTAGCATTTACTTCACCACAGAATCATTTTCATCAGTACAGTTCATTTTATGTCTGAGAATGTGTATGTCTTGTTCGTAATTTCACGACCCGACGTAAATTACGTGATATTAGTTTGAACTGCTACCGCTGATATAACTATGGAGAATAGAGATATTGAATATTTGATCACAAACAAATTTAAAAAGACATTTAAAAGGACAGATGAATGGACAGAAAGATGGATTTTTGATAGAGATAGGCTAGGAATAGGTGAGTGAACTTACATTTATATTGTCTTGATTTATGTGTCATTTTCTATCAATATTTTGTCTATAAGTGACCAAAAAAAGACATTTTAAAGCAGTTTAAAAATCCAAATGCCAAAATTGTGTGTGCTTCATCTATTTTAAAGACATTTTAAAACAGATTTTGTGTGCCTCATCTATTTTAAAAGCCACTGCTCCACATTAACATGTTATATGAATACATTTTGATTAGACATCACTATATTACTATTGCTTATGATAAGTAAACATCAGATAGGAAGTTATCAATGCATCATCATTTGTGCTATGATCATGAATAAAAGCTGAAACACTGCACTACAGCATCTTCAAATCAGCAGCTGGAAGAGTTTATAAGCCCATTGTGTGTTTCACCAATGCACTTCCACTCTTGTTTTCATATTACGCGAATGAAGGACCCGGGCTGAAAATGTAAATAACAGTCAGCGTTTGGCTTCAAGCTGTCAATCACGTGAAGGAGAGTGGAACAAGTGTCGGAAATGTCACTGTCTTGCTGGAGGGCAGGGTGTCATTCATCTACTCGATATCAAGCTCACTGTAACGTCCCCAGGCTCACACACACACACAAGCTCACACAAACAATGCCAACACCTGTGCAGTCAGTTTCTGAAAAGCAACTGTCAAGATCTCACTCGAGGTGGACTGAAGACGTAGAACACAATACAGCTTACAGGGGGTTTTATACAGCCTGTAATAATGAGACAAGAGCCGTCAAGAGCAGGTGTGTGTGTGTGTGTGTGTGTGTGTGTGTCATCCCTCCATAAACCCATCCCTCCATAAACCCATCCCTCCATCCATCCATAAACCCATCCCTCCATCCATCAGTCCATCCATCAGTCCATCCATCCCTCCATCCATCCATCCGTCCATCCATCCGTCCACCCCTCCATCCATCCATCCATCCATCCATCCATCCATCAGTCCATCCATCCCTCCATCCATCCATCCGTCCATCCATCCATCCATCCATCCCTCCATCGATCCATCAGTCCATCCATCCATCCATCAGTCCATCCATCCATCCATCCATCCATCCATCCATCCATCCCTCCATCCATCCATCAGTCCATCCATCTCTCCATCCATCCATCCGTCCACCCCTCCATCCATCAGTCCATCCATTGATCCATCGGTCTATCCATCCATCCATTCATCAGTCCATTCATCAGTTCCTCCATCCATCATCCACTCAGCTGGTGTGTTTCCCCTGACACAGGCAGGGATTTGACAGTGAGTCCCAGAAGAGCTGAGAGTGAGCTAGAAGGACTCTAGAGGCCGCACTGATATCCAGACGGCTGTTATCAAACACAGATTGTACGGGCCTGATATCTTTGGCAAGAAAAACGTTTATTTGGAAGGTATAGTGTGATAAAGCGGGTAATGAGTCGCACCTGTTTAGGAGCCACCACTGGGGCCAAATGAGGCTGGAACGTGCTCCGTCTATCTGTGATTGTCTCTCCGTGTTTAATCAGCAGCAGCTCTTCATCTACAACAAAAACAAACAACAAAAGCATATAAAATCAATCCTTTGAATGACTGGTCAGCCGCTAATTACTAATTAACTGGGATTGCTTTACACAAGACAAGCGGTGCTTTGAAGGGACTTTGAAAGTCAAAAAATACCCTATTTACTTCTCAAAACGCACAGTTTCCCACTTTTCACTCGCAAAATTGACCAATAATGACTAAGATTCATTCCATATTCATGAAAAAACGTAGAAACTAATGAAACCACACGTCAGAGCTGCGCGATTAATTGTTAAAAGATCACAAACTTAATTCAAACACCCATGCAATCTTATTCCTAAATGACAACGATTTACATGTGTCTATTAAACCTTTGACAAAATCACAGCGGACATTCAGATCTGTGTTTGATCCAGAGAGAGCAGTTGTCATGCATGAAACGGCTAAACGGTCTTTTCAGCCACACAGTATCATTATTTCTGTCTTACAATTATTCAGATTATCACAGAAGTACTGCGAGAAAAGTTTATAGTTCAGATATAAACACTGATGTCTACAGTAGCACTTAAACTAGAGTAAACCACCTTTTGAAAGTAACTTGATGCTTCAGATAAAGATTGTATTACAATCTACATTACATTACATCATTACACCAGTAGGTGGCGACGAGTGACTGTTAAAAAATGTATTTGTCTTTGAATCATTCATTCAAGAGATTCGTTCAAAAACGCTGATTCATCCAGTAATGAAACAAGTGAAGTATTTATAAGTGAGTCATTGAATCGTTCATTCAAGAGATTCGTTCAAAAACGCTGATTCATCCATTAATGAAACGAGTGAAGTATTTATGAGTGAGTCATTGAATCATTCATTCAAGAGATTCGTTCAAAAACGCTGATTCATCCATTAATGAAACGAGTGAAGTATTTATGAGTGAGTCATTGAATCATTCATTCAAGAGATTCGTTCAAAAACGCTGATTCATCCAGTAATGAAACGAGTGAAGTATTTATGAGTGAGTCATTGAATCATTCATTCAAGAGATTCGTTCAAAAACGCTGATTCATCCATTAATGAAACGAGTGAAGTATTTATGAGTGAGTCATTGAATCGTTCATTCAAGAGATTCGTTCAAAAACGCTGATTCATCCAGTAATGAAACGAGTGAAGTATTTATGAGTGAGTCATTGAATCATTCATTCAAGAGATTCGTTCAAAAACGCTGATTCATCCATTAATGAAACGAGTGAAATATTTATGAGTGAGTCATTGAATCATTCATTCAAGAGATTCGTTCAAAAACGCTGATTCATCCATTAATGAAACGAGTGAAGTATTTATGAGTGAGTCATTGAATCATTCATTCAAGAGATTCGTTCAAAAACGCTGATTCATCCATTAATGAAACGAGTGAAGTATTTATGAGTGAGTCATTGAATCATTCAATCAAGAGATTAGTTCAAAAACGCTGATTCATCCAGTATTTATGAGTGAGTCATTGAATCGTTCATACAAGAGATTCGTTCAAAAACGCTGATTCATCAGTATTTATGAGTGAGTCATTGAATCGTTCATTCAAGAGATTCGTTCAAAAACGCTGATTCATCCATTAATGAAACGAGTGAAGTATTTATGAGTGAGTCATTGAATCATTCATTCAAGAGATTCGTTCAAAAACGCTGATTCATCCAGTATTTATGAGTGAGTCATTGAATCGTTCATTCAAGAGATTCGTTCAAAAACGCTGATTCATCCATTAATGAAACGATAGGGGTGGAACGGTACATGTATTCGTATCGAACCGAAACGGTACGGGCGTCACGGTTCGGTGCACGAATTTACACGGAGAATACACGGTATAAAAATAAATAAAACTCGCGTGCAAATTAATTAATGTAGGCCTAATGCGGAATACCGTTAGATACGCGGGTTCTTGACACATAATCTGTACCATCGGCTTAGCTCTGAACGCGCGTTCACTTCAAACGTTGGCTTTATACGCGCGTCCTATTCGCTTTGGACTAGCGTCGACTAAACGCCATAGACGCGAATTTGAAGCTCTATTCGCGTTTGGTGTGACCGCATAATGAAGGCTGCGATGTCAAGATTGCAATACTGGAGTGTGTGTGTGTGCGCACGCGCGAGAGAGAGAGGCGAGATCGAACTGTGCAGTGTGTGTGTGTGTGTGTGTGTGTGTGTGTGTGTGAGAGAGAGAGAGAGAGAGAGAGAGAGAGAGAGAGAGAGAGGCGCGCGACCGAACAGTGGAAACATAAAAAAAAACATACTCCGTAATTTTGTTCATACAGATCATTAAACCTGCAAGTGTTTACTTATATTTGTGTAGGCCTACACTCGCAATAAAACACAACATTGTGCACACTGTAAACTCTTGTCAAACTGTAACCTACAACTGTCACTCAACCAAAATCACACACACACACACACACACACACACACACACACACACACACACACACACACACACACACACACACACACACACACACACACACACACACACACACACACACACTGTTTTAAAAGCAAAACATATTTATCCAACTCCATTTCAAAACAGTCTGTGGGTCCCATCTTTTGGACATTCATCATATTGCATTGGTTTTCATTTCTTGTCCTCGGAGCGCTAATCTTACACATTCTACATTGATTAAAAAAGAAAATCGAATGTGTTTTTAATGGTAGTATTATTTTAACAGAAATCAATTATTTATAATTCAGATGAGAATGTTACATTGTTAATTAATAATGTTAATTAAAATTAAGGAAAACAAATATATTGACCTGAAATATAGCAAAATAATTTTAAATTAATTCAGAAACAATTACCAAACATATCGCAAGGTCTTTTTGTCTTTTCATTAATTTAATTATTAAACTAATTATATAAAACTATTGTCAGTGCACTACAAATAAACTGGTTCTATGCCTTTATATAATAAAACTTATTTAAAAAATACGCCTTCTGCATTTTTGTTTTGCTTTTCCCTCCATTGTACCGAAATCGTACCGAACCGTGATGTCTGAACCGAGGTATGAACCGAACCGTGACTTCTGTGTACCGTTCCACCCCTATGAAACAAGTGAAGTATTTATGAGTGAGTCACTGAATCATTCATTCAAAAGATTCGTTAAAAAACGCCGATTCATCCAGTAATGAAACGAGTGAAGTATTTATGAGTGAGGCATTGAATCATGTTCAAGTTATTTTTTTATTTTTATAATTCAGATTAATGAAACTTTTTAAATAGACTGCAGCAATTGAGATTTTGTCAGAACCTCTAATAAAATCACATGTTAGTTTGTTTAGTTGTCTATTCAGAAACGTGGGAGAATCATGATCTCGGTTTGAAATAAAAAAATCGTGATTCATAATTTATCCAAAATCGTGCAGCTCTACCACACATGGACAAGAATCACTGTGAGTGGCCTAATAAACGTGCCAACATTAAACTTAATACAGAGATATTTCATCTTACATATATTACATCATTGACAGTGAAAGACTAAGACGCTGTGATTAGTGAAAGACTCCATTGGGCTGTGATTATGTGCCGTGTTTCAACCGAACCGGGAAAGAAAATGCCTCTGCACTCAATTGGATAGACCGAATCCCGTGGGAAGGACGGCAAAAACATCTTTCCGATCGGCAAATCGGTTCTCTGTTCCTCTTTTAAAATGAATGCGCTGTCTACATTGTGTTTAATCAATAAACACTACATACATCTCCTATAACAGACGCGATGGCTGAATCTACACATCTCAGTTCTCCAGCGGCGGCCATCTTTGTTGTAAACAAACTCAACCCAAGCGCTCTTTGGTGACGTGGATGATTACGTTACTGTTGATCATCTGTCCATCATCGTATAAAGCCCGCCCTGACAATGTGATTGGTCCGAACAGCTTTGGTTCGGGAATACTTGCTTCTCAACGAATCAAGTCCAGACCGAACCTCCCGACCTCACATGTTGTGGGCGGAGCTAAGCTCGGCTGGCATCCAGGCTATGTCTGGTCACGAAAAGAGGAAAAAAAACACCATGAGAGTGAATTTCGAGATAAACTTGTGTTCTTTCCTCTCCACGTTTGATGCCAGCAGAGAACAGTAAAGTTAAGATGATGTGAATCTCTCTCTAGTCTGTCTGTCTGACCCAGCTGGGCTTCTTCTGGGCTTCTTCTACGTTTGATAAACGACAAAGGGCAACGGTGTTTGTTTATAAACTGCAGCTCGGAAAAGATAACCGCGTCGGCGTTAACATGCGTTCATATGCATGCGCACGACATGAAGCGCGCACTTTCCAGCAAAACATCAGTGGAAACCAGTACAATATGAGCGTGATGGCACTCCTCATTATAGACACATACTTTTAAAACAAGACAATGATTATCTAGTCTCCAAGTCAGTTTAGTCACAACACAATGGAAAGCAATGTATTGACACTGACTATTGATTTATAGGCTATATTGCATTTAAAATGTTGATTGGCTGGACATACTGGTCAATATGGATGCACATCCCTCAGTAAATAACAACCATCAAGTATTGCTTTTATCATTTAAAACACAGTGACATGCTATGGCAAGCCATTTTAGCTTTTATTCATTCACAAGATGCATTTTTTATATCAATAATTAAATTTGCAGGGCCCCTTAACACAATTTTGCTTAGGGCCCCAGGGAGGTCAGGATCGGCTCTGGCTGTAAAGGATTTATGCAAATGACTAACCTTGGGAAAACAGTCTCTCATTTACAATATTCATATTCATTAAAATCAGAACAAGGTTAAGAAGAAATTCAAGTGCATATGCACATGTTGTAAATTAGGTGGACAATTATAAGTGAACAAAAACCAGTGTTTAATGGCAAATTCTCGTTAGGAATGGTGAATGAACAGTGGGACGCACCATCGGAAGCGTCGGAGAAGAGCCGAGCCGACTGATCGGCCAGTTTTAAAACGCTGTAGTCTGGAAGATCGTCCTCGTCGTAGTCGTGCTCTTCTTCCTCCGTCGTCATCGTCTTCCCCGTTTCTGGTCCTTCTGAAAACAGAAAGATGAAGAACGGCGTAACCTAATCTTTTAACAAACCATTGCACATTCCAATCAATTACACAAGGACACGCTGCGCCATGCGAGACATTCGAGTCTAAGAAAACTACGATTAGTGATTAAAATAAAGATGTTTTGAGATGAGTGTAAATAATGAAAGGTCAGTGACATCCCTCCACAAGTTTCCTTTATTAATCAGCAAACATACTTAAATGCAAATAATCCTCAACGTCTCTTTTGATACGGCACGCACTTAAAAGAATCGTAAGGGTCAAAGCACTTCCATCAAGAGCAGAATATCTAATAACATAAAAATGGAAACATCCCAATGAGCCTCACTCATTAAACATGAGCAGAATTTCTGTGTAAGTTGAACAAAAATATATGAATGTGTTAAATGTTGAATGCAACAATCTAGACTCTATAAAGGTATATATGTGGTTTCATGAAGAACATGCATGGAACCTTTCCATTGGTTCTTTAGATTGTTAAAATGTTCTTCACATTAATAAAAATGGTTATTTTAATGTCAGTGTCAATGCCACAGGTAAAACAACACATGTTGACCAATGTGCTTTACATCATTTGTAAAATAACATACATCACACCACAATAAGACATAATAGGATGGTGCGAGACCATTCAAGGGTTTTTATACTAATAAAAGGAGTTTAAAATCAACTCTGTAACGTACCAGAAGCCAGTGTAGTGAAACCAAGGTTCTCGTTTTTTAATACCTTTGAACTTTTTGCAATGGAGAAATGGATGATTGACTAATTCCCCTTGTAAAGTGTGCATTGCAATAATCAAATCTTGAGGAGATGGACCGCAATGGACCGCAATTTCAAGACTTTTAATCGTCAAACATGATTTCTAAATTATGCAAGACTTGATTTTTACCATGGAATTAATCAGTTTATCCAACTTGAGGGAGCTGTCAATATGCATACATGACATGGGGCCAAAATCTATATCCGATATACTTCACTAAGGCCAAAAACAATAATATCCGTCTTACTTTCATTTAGGTGTAAACAATTTGAAGCCTTCCAGGTTCCAAGTCATTTTTATGCGTCAGCAGCAAATAAAGCTCTATATCGTCCACAAAACAGTGAAACACAATGTTGTTCTACATAAAAATAGAGCCCAGTGGGAGCATATAAAGTGAGAACAAACTAGGGCCGAGGACCGAGCCTTGAGGCACACCACAAGTAAGAGGTGCTGATCTAGAGGAACAGGCACTGATATTCACCAATATCAGTCAGATAAAACTTTAACCACTTCAGGGTTACAGCACAGTGTGATCTACTCAAACCAAAATGTATTCAGACACCTTCAACATTTCTCACATTATCACAGTTTATTCGCTATAGTTTCGAAAATGGTAATAAAACATGTCAAGAACTCAGTGGATATTTGACTGGTTTTGTCCGTCCTTCTGTTAGACTCTCACACATTAATTATGTTGAATATCTGTCAGCTGTTAAATTTAACTTCACAATTAGATAATACCAGTTTAGCTCAACCAGTGACCAAGAAATGCTTATTTTTGGTGTAAAAAGGTCGCATTAGCAATTAAAGAAAAAACACTTCAGCAAAACATGGTCAGCTCAAAGTGTCTGAATAGTTTTTGGTCCCAAATTTGTATAAATGTCACTGGTAGTCACTGTATGAAGAGTTTTGGGGTATAATATGTCACAGTTTACTTTATTTTGCTCTCCTCACTTAAATAAATGAACTATAGTGTCCTGCACACACTAGTAAAACAATATTTTAAAAAATATATCTGGTGTCTAAATCATTTTTGGTTTGACTATATTGTGTCAAAAGCAGGAGTTAAATTGAGTAAAATGAACACTGCAGAATTTCCGGCATCTACGGTCAATAGCTGAAATTAGCCAGAAAATTAGATTTTATGTATAATCTAAAGTACACTAGGCCCAAACACATCACAGAGGACATCTGTGAACAAAAGAAAAGTTAGTCTTCTGCGAAATAACACACATTCTATGATATCATTTTTGGAACTTTAGTTTTTAAAAGTGTAGAAAGAACAGTTTTGCATTCTATTCAAACCACAAAACGCAACATTTCGACTCAAATCACCGGCAGCCATTTTCCACGTGTCATTTGGCAACTTAAAACGAGAAACTTAATGAAGTCGCAATCAGCCGTTCCAGCTGTTCTGAAGTACAGCATTAAGATTCAGTGACAAAAACAGCTTTCCCACACATTTCATCCAAGGAATTCATTTCTATTACATAGGCTTATACTGGATAAAGATGTTTCAAAATCCCTTAGTATTTTCATTTGTATGCCGTCAGGTGTCAGGTCTTGGCATCAGGGGCATTGGAACAAGTGGGAGGAAGGCATTATAAATCTCACCAGCCTCTCTTCAGAAGCACAGCATTGTTTTAAACGCCTAGTTGACATTTACGAGACACTATTTGAAAGCTTAAACACTAAATAAGTTCATTGATTAGGTCTAAAGCTTTATGAATATAAAAAAGACTTTTCTTCACATCTTGCGTTCACATTCTCTGTCCTCGGGAAGTGTGTTCAGCGCACAAACTCTGTGCCAGATGTGGCTCGGGTAATGAATATTAATCGCATTCTGTGATGGTTTTGGCAGAGGTTTCTGCTTGATCATAAAGTTGACGTTTTACATCAAGCCAAGCCAACCTCTTTAACCCTCTGGGGTCCTTCATTTCAGAGTCACACTCAGGACCTTCGGGTCCAAATGGGCCGGAAGGGTGGGATTAATATTTATAAAAAAAAAAATCATCATTTTTTTTTTTTACTTGTTTTTTATAATATTTTTTCTTTTCTTTTTTGGTGTTTTGAGATAATTTCAAATATAAAACTGATTTATAATTAATATTAATGCAATAATTATGACCCATTTTTTTCCCCATTGAATATAATAGAAAATGTTTTATTTTTTTATTTTTATTTTTAAAGCTGTATTTCATTTTAGAGTCAAGCCTAGGCCTCATGAAAGCAATTTTTGAAATGAGATGGATGCCATCTGGTGGACAAACTGAGCATTTTAAAAATTCAAAACCCATATGTAATCTGAATTTATTAGTGTGTGTGTGTGTGTGTGTGTGTGTGTGTGTGGATGTGTCTGTTTTGCACTCTTGATGTTTTATAGGTTCACCCTTTCTGGATTGTGGCTGATTTGTAGATTGTACACACAAAAAAACTCTGTATTTTCACATTTTTGCCAATTTCCCATTCATTTCCTATGCGGGTCCATTTGGACCCGAAGGTCCTGAGTGTGACTATTTTTTTTACAACCACTTAGACTATTCAAATCCTGTCCCCAATTTTTTTGGGTGTTCATATACCAAGTACCAACAAAGTCACCAAATTTCGGACCATTCCGATAAAGCTATGATTTTTAAATAAAAAATATTTAAATGCTTCGGGTCCATTTGGGCCGAAGGACCCCAGAGGGTTAAAATATCATTGCAATATCCCAAAAAGTGTGAGGGAGACCAGTTTCTGAAAGTTCAAGTGGTTGTGATTAAATGCCAACGTGCAAATGTCAAAGCTATCCTGAGATCTGAATGAACTCATTGAATTGAATTGAATGAATTTACACAGTCAAATGATTTTAAATGTGTAAGAAAAGGCGAAAATCGGGATGAGAGAGAGAGATAGAGAGAGAGAGAGATAGAGAGAGAGAGAGAGAGAGAGGGGCGTGTTTCAGATATCGCTCACCGAATTGATTCCTCTTTCGGGTTTCCGGACACATACACACAACATTATGTCAAAATGCTCGTCTCGGCAAGTATTCTCTCAGATGTTTATTCGCTCTTAAAGTGACAGCAGCCTAATATTCCTACTGTTATCTGTGTCATTAATGTTAATTAAACAACAAAATACAAAACAAAGATGAACCTTTATTTAATTTCTACAGTGAACAAATAGTGTTATTTTACATTTAGGCTTAATTATTCATTTCTGTACCTGAACTACTGTTAAACATTGTAACTTCAGTATTCATCTCTGCTTGTAATTTGTGTATTTGTTCTTATTTTATTACTGACTGTTCACTTGTTTTTAATTATGTTTGATCTTTATCAGTTAGGCTAGTAGTTTTTGATGTGGTATCAAAGAACTTCAAATGAGCTTTAAGTAATAAATGAAAAGCAAAGTTACACCCCAACATAGGGGTGTGCGATATATATCGTAATTGTTGTTTTAACGATTTAGCGATTTGACATTATGGAGTATAGCCTATCCCTCACACACCCAGAGAGTGCATGCGTACTCTACATGATGTAGTCTTGTAGACGAGACTAGTGCGGGTGCGCATTTAGTGTTTATTATCATTCAGTAATAAATATCACAAGAGTGTAGTTTTTCTCCAAATATCAGCATGATAAAAAATGTGATATTGATTTTATACAAGTTTAATAAACAAGTTAATATTAAGTGACTGACATTTTAGACACCATATTGCCTGTTTTTGCTCTATTCCGCCAACAAAAATAGTTCAAAAAGCCATGAATGAATCGGTTTAATGAATGATTCAATGACTCACTCATTAAGGCTTCGTTCCTGAATGAATCAGCTGTTTGAATGAATCGGTTGAATTAATGATTCGCTCATTAAAGGCCCGTACACACCGGGACGAATATGTCGGCGCGCGTTATTCACCAGCGTTTTTCAATGCGTTTTTTGTGTTCACACCCAAGCGATTTTCGCTGACGATGAGCCGAGTGAACATGCCAATTCATTCCCTGACATTAGATGGCACTTAGTGTAAAACAGAAATAGTCCTATGTTGTAGTCGCTGTCGCGTTTGTCATATAGTTCTTTATGTTCGAGAACGAGACCAGCAGCTCTACATTCATCTTGCCTTGCATCTTCCTCGTCTTATTTCTTCCCGGCAGTGTAGACGCTACTTGGCGTATATCTTCTTCGCCGTTACGTATGTGTGCTCGGCAAGACCGTTTTGTGTTTGAGCGCCCCCAAGTTGT